TGTGTGTGTGTGTGTGTGTGTGTCTGTCTGTCTGTGAGTGTGTCTGTCTGTGAGTGTGTCTGTCTGTCTGTCTGTGTGTGTGTCTGTGAGTGAGTGTGTGAGTGTGTGTCTGTCTGTGTGAGTGAGTGAGTGAGTGAGTGTGTGTGTGTGTGCGCGCGCGTGTCTGTTTCAGGCGTGTATTTTGATGTGATGGAGATCACTCCTCCCTTCGCCGGTGTTCACAGGTTTAACGCTGAAGGTCAAAGGGTGAGTTGCTGTAAACGAGACGCACTGATTGATTTGCCCTTTTCAGCTTCGTTTAACTGCGGCTGAACAGGTTTGCAAATACTGCCTCTGATTAGATAATTGCTTAATTTGTGCTAATTGGGTCACGGTTCGGTTCACCTGCCATAAGACGCTCATTAACCCTCCAGCAGATCCACCACCAGTGATCGCGCTCTTTCTGTGATATTTACATCGTTTTTACCCTGAACAACTGCGCAGAAAAATACACCTCAGTGTAGTTTTAAATTCAGATCTTTTGTGGTTCTGTTTATTTCAAGAACCATTTTTACGAAAACATTTTCAGGTCACATTTCACCCCAAATTTGTAAGTTTTTAAAAAAAAACTTATTTTAAGACCGTTAGTTGTGAATGATTACATTACTGACAATTAAGTACATTATTCAGATTCTCTTTAATGCAACAAAATCTCACTCTCGTCACTGTTTTACTTAATTTTTGTTTCCATAATAATAAATAAAATATAATAGAGATATAAGGAAGTCAATTAATTATATATATATATATTTTTTTATTTTATACAATTTTATATATATCTTTTTATTTAATAAATAATATTTGTTTATTACTTTTACAAAAAAAATACATGTATTACAGTTGTTTTTAATTTAAATCAGTATTATAATTTCTATAAAATATAAAGTAAACGTTTAAATATTTTAAATAAAGAATAGAATATTTATTATTTATTTATTTGTTATTTATTTTTTTGCATTACACTAATGTGAGTTAATTATCATGAAAATAATGTCGGAGTCAAAAAATCTTAATGGTCTTAAAAACAAGCTTCATTTGATTAACTCTACATTATATTATATTCTATTATACAAATGTTCTTGATGATTTCTTTAGTGTTTTGGAGTTTGGTTTGTTTTAAGCACCAGCAGCACACAGTGTTTCTAAAGAACTAGAAAGTCAGGTCTTATCTGTAAAACCTTGTGTTTTGGTTCTGTTCTCGTCCTGATGGGCGGCTGGCGTCTGTGTTCGCTCTCGCTCAGGTCGCCTCGTTTGAGCACGAGATGGAAATCCGAGCTCTGATTGAAGGACAGTTCCTGGCCAAACGAGTTCATGCAGAAAAACTGGGCTACAAGATCAGTGAGTGTCTGGTGTCTCGATCATTAGTGCTGTTCCTCCAGGCCAGTCGTCTGTATTAGCTCAGCAAGTGCACTACAGCTGCTGTACGAGTTTGTGTTGCGCTTGAAATATTAAAATCAAAAATATGTATTAATGCTTTCATTAAGTAAAATCATTAACTGCCTTCTGTAACATGTCTGTAAGCAACAGAACGCTCCTATATGCATCATTTCATGGAGCTCAAATAAAAACAGGCTAGGAACCGTTCTCATGCGCTGTATTCATTATTCATACGCTGTATCATCATCATCATTATTATTAAAACAATGTTACACAAATACAGAAAAAATCCATCTATTGCATTCATGTAAATGCAAATGTGTTTCTATCTTTAAAAATATATTCATTAAAATTATAAAATTATATATTTTCTCAAAAGTTTGAAGTCCAAAATAACAGCATTTATTTGAAGTAGAAATATTTTTATAAATTATATTATGTAAAATAAAGCAATAATCCAATAAAGGGGCGTTGTTAGGCACGATGTGAACCACGGCTTCACGGGGATTATTGCTTTATTTTACATATTATAAATTATAAAAATATTTCTATTTCAAATAAATGCTGTTCTTTTGAACTTTCTGTTCATCTGTGAATCTTGAAAAATAAAATGCATCACAGTTTCCACAGAAATATCATGCAGCACGACTGTGTTCAACATTGATAATAATCAGAAATGTTTCTCGAGCAGCAGATCAGCATATTATACTGATTTCTGAAGATCATGTGACACTGAAGACTGGAGTAATGATGCTGAAAATACAGCTGCGCATCACAGAAATACATTACAGTTTAACACATATTCACACAGAAAACAGCTGTTTTAACTTGTAATATTATTTCACATTTTTTCAGTGTATTTTTGATCAAATAAATGCAGCCTTGCTGAACAGAAGAGACTTCTTTCAAAAAAAAACAAAAAACATCTTAGCCCAAACTTTAGGGTTGCACCTGCTGAGTGAAGGTCAGGGTTTATGCTCCATCAATACTCATTAGTAATGCACTCTTCTGTAGTCAACACAAACATCTGGATGATGCAGGACTGATGCACGGCTGCGTCTCAATGCGTCACACATTTACATTACTCAGCATTTAACAGCCACACAACCGTCTTTGATTCTCTCTCTCCTGATTATACATGTGCTTTGCAATATATCCCTATAATAAGATGATGATGATGATGATGATGATGATGATGAAGGCCACACCCCTCACACTGTTTATTCCGACTCATTTGGGCGGAGGTCTTAGGATATTGATACTGGAATTATTCACTCTGTTGAATATCTGTAATGCATTTCAGTATCAAATAACATTTATTCCTTAATGAATATTTAAAAAATGTATAAATCTTAATATAATAAACCCTCAATGCAAATTCGAATGTTCAGAATGTTAATTAAAAATCCAAATGGGAGGCATGACTAATTAATATTTAAATGATGCATATTTGCATTTATAAGTAAGATTTACATGTATTTTTTTAATTGATGTGCATCTTTCTTGCTTGCTTTAATTTGACTATTTCCCAAGTGCTTGAAGTTGTAAAGTTATGTTTAATATATTTATATCTACGTTTAGATATATTAACATTTATATATTATTATTATTATTTTAGTTTTAATTTAGTTTTTATATTTCTTCTTAAACTATAATGAATGGAATGCAGTTAGACGTTTGCATTTTTAATTTAATATTTTTTTTTTAATTTAATAACTTTGTTTCTTTATTTCTTACTTTTTTAAATATAAAACGTATGTGTGTATGCACTTATTTAAATGTGTTTATATATTTATTGAACCATGTGGAAATATTTGAATTTTATGTTTTTTAAATGTTCTTTCTTTCTTGCATTTCTTGCTTGCTTTTTAAAATCGTGCTATTTTGCATGCATGGGATTTAATTTAAATGTTATTTAATTTATAGCTGATTATCAGGTTCATGCTTTTATTAAGATGCTGTTTACTGATCATAAATCTGTTCATCGTGATGAATTTTACAAGTGCAATAATTTTATGATTTTCCTATTTATGTGCCGTTTTATTGAGTAACATTTGTTTTTATGCTTCATGCAGCCTGAATTATGCTTTAATTAGCATAACATAATGTTTTATGTCTCACTGCGGCCTGATGGCAGCGTTAGCATGTTTGATGTCTGGCGTGGGATCATACAAACACATGCATAGAGAGATCAGCTCGCAGCTCCTCTGTTATTGTAGGGTAGGCCGGGGCTAGTTGTCACAGGGGCTGTGTCTCAGTAAGTGTGGTTTATGATGATATACAGTATAACATGAATTAATCTGTTTTATAGTTGCTGGTACACGAGTGCTGGCCACAGGAGGAGCGTCATCCAACAAGGACATTTTACAGGTATTGTCCTTTACAACGCTGTGTTTTGCCAGATTTATATAAATGATTTTCTTAGTATTTTTGTCTAGTTTTCTAGTATAAATGTCTAAACATTCGCGAACCAAGATGCATTTACTTGACAAGTAAAATGACTTAAGCTATTAAGTCTTGTTTTCTGAAGAAATTATAAAAATGTTGTAAGCTTTTGCTTAAAACAAGCACAAATATCTGCTAATGAGGTAAGAAAAGTTATCTTAATTCGAAGGCTAAACAAGTTTATTTTTCTTGCCCCATTGGCAGACATTTTTGCTTGTTTTAAGCAAAAACTAACATGATTTTGATCAAATGACTTAAGATATTTTATTTTCTGAACAAATTAAGATATTTTAAAATGATTCAAGAATTCTTAGTATTTTTGTCTTGTTTTCTAGCATAAATATCTAAGGAAGAAAATCATTTTTTTTGTATTGCGCCGTTTCAAATGTCTCATTTTTACAAATGTAAATTAAAACTATTAACACATTAAATGTAAATTTTAAATCTTTAAATTTTTTATATTTGCATGTTAGATTCAAGACTTATGCTTATGTACATTTATTTTTATTTTAAAGATTTCATATTTGCATTTATATTTGGAAAAAACTGAGTTAAGATTTTATATGCAAGTGTACTTAATTTTTTTATTTTAAATATTTAATATTTGCATTTGACATTGGGAACAAAATTACATTATTTATCCAAGTATAATGACCGAAAATTAGCATTTTTCATATTTATTTTTAAATGTTTTTACAAAACCAACACATGTGCATGCTTCTCAAATGATTTTGAAATGTCTTGATTAATGTAATGCTCATTCATCTTCTCAACGCTGCAGGTTCTGTCTGACGTCTTCAGCGCTCCGGTTTACACCATCGACGTGACAAACTCGGCCTGTCTGGGCTGCGCTTACAGAGCCTTACATGGTAAGAATAATAATAATATTATCTGATAATTCTGCTCCTGTGGAGACCCATAGAGACCAACTATTAAAGTGCCCCTATTATGGGTTATGAAAGGTTAATGTTTTGGTTTTGGGAGTCCCGGACAACAGGTCGACATGCATGCAAGCTAAAAAAAACACTTTCATTGTCTTATAATATGCATTTATTTTTTATCTTACTTGCTCAACGACTCCCAAATGAGTCGCTCAACGATTCATTCTTCCAAACCCCTGCTTTGCGTGACGCTAATCTGCTGTGATTGGTCGATTGGATCTCGCCTGTAATGCCTGATAAAGCAGTGTTTGTGAGCGCAGTGCTGCTTTGTGTACAGCGATACCAGGGAAACCGCTATTTTTACGCTCCAAAAGTGGCACCTAGTGGCAAAGAATGAATTTGCATTTTCATTTCATTTTGTTTTATTTTTTTTTATGTTTATTATATGTCTGCAGCAACATGTAGTCCATAACAATTTTCCTCTTGAGGACAATAAAGTATACTACTACTACTACTACTACTACTATTCAGACCAACAGAAAAGACTAATAAGTGGGCGGGCAATATGCTAATGTTTCATGTTGACCTCAAGATGAAACGGCTTGGGATTCATTTTAAAAACGACTCGTTTAAATAACTCTGAGTCGACTCTTTCTGTTGAGAGACAATAACTTTATACACGGTGCACGCTCAGATGTAAAACTTTGCAGGATGTTTTCATTCACTTAGGGCTGTGTTGCACACTGCATGAAATGCAAAATTTAAAAAATTTAGGGGCACTTTAACATTTGTTTACATGATACCGCTAGATCTACTAGATACTACTACTACTACTACTACTATTCAGACCAACAGAAAAGACTAATAAGTGGGCGGGCAATATGCTAATGTTTCATGTTGACCTCAAGATGAAACGGCTTGGGATTCGTTTTAAAAACGACTCGTTTAAATAACTCTGAGTCGACTCTTTCTGTTGAGAGACAATAACTTTATACACGGTGCACGCTCAGATGTAAAACTTTGCAGGATGTTTTCATTCACTTAGGGCTGTGTTGCACACTGCATGAAATGCAAAATTTAAAAAATTTAGGGGCACTTTAACATTTGTTTACATGATACCGCTAGATCTACTAGATAAGCCAGATTCACATTAAGTAAGATAATGCAGTTTCAGATGTCTCATTTTTATATATTTTAATGACTAAGTAAACTATTAGCATATTTAACGTGCATGTAATTTACATTTTAATTTAAATATTTGTAAATCTGTATGTTGATCAACACGGCGCATCGATGTAATATGTTTTATTTGATTTATATTTATTTTAATTTAAAAAAAAAAATTATTTGTAAAGGTGTTTGGTTTAAAAATTTAAAGATTTGTTTAGATTTAACATTTACATTTGGACAAAAATTGGCTTAAGATTTAGAAGTAATATTTTTTATTTTTTTTTATTCATTACATATAACTACTATAATGCATGGAAAATACTTAAGACTATGATGTATGAAATTTGAATTTAAAAACATTTTTATTTAGGTAAATCTGCAAAATTTGCCTTGAATTTTCTTAGTTTTTTTGTTTATATTTTATATTTTGATTTAAAGTTAGATTTACTATTTACGTTTAGACAAATGAAATGCATGAAAAAATTAGACAAAAATATTATTTATGTAAATCTGGCAAGATAGAGCTGTTTTGTTGACTTTATTTTATATTTGGCACCCTAGACGGTTATTAGCAGGACCGAAGCGATGCTTGGGATATTTGCCATCCAGGATCTCTGTATAACTGTCTGTACTTCAGTTCAGCGCCAGCGTCTCCTGCTCGATCCGCATCGATGTGTGTGTGCTGTGAGTGTGTGAGACGCATGGGTCTGATCAGGAGAATATGATGGAGAGGCTCGTGTCCCGTCAGAATCAAACAAGCGGGTGAGGCTTTAATCACAGCCTGATGAGGACTTTCTGCTTCATATCAGCATTGGTTAAAGCTCAGGGCCCTTTCTTTAACAGCCGTGGAGAGTGGCTTTCTGAAGGGTTTACTGATGATTCTTATTGATCATTAATCCTGACGACGAGCTGCTGTTAATTGGTAGAACAGACACGGATTGGCTTCATCCCTTTTGCTGGAATTGCCACCCGTTTCCATAGAGACGGACGGTACAGCATCACTGACCCGCAGAAAACATTTCTTTCTGATCACCGTCACACCAAAACTGTGTGTTAGACCCAGAACTTTCTTATCTACGTTATGAGCGTTAGTGGAAGAAACCAATGCGTCACATGCGGTCTTTGGGTTCATCGAGTACTTTGATTTCAAAGAAATGCACTTTATATCTGAAACCAAAGTTCCCAGTGGAGAAGTGGAAGATATTCTTAATGAGACATCTGGATTTATAAAGGTCAGAGAATTATGGATTTCTCCAGTCAACATTTTTTTTAATGAGCTGGTGCTAAAAATTTGTACGACTTTCTTCATTAACACTTCTTCGTTTGAATTAAAAATTATATGGGGATTTATTGTTAAAAGCTCTAAAAAATAAAAAAATAAAAAAGACAAAAAAGCACCATAAAGGTTTTATTTATTTATTTATTTTGGTCTAAGCTGCTCTTTTTTATAAGTACTTTATAGTACTTTTTATAAGTAAGTTTATAGTTAAAATTAACATAGTCAAAAAATATTTTTTTAACTAATGAATGTATTTATTCATTTAAATAATTTCTTATTTATCTAAATAATTGTATTTGTCAGACCTGATCTGTTCTATAAAATGATTTATAGTTAAAAGCTTTAAAATGGATTAATAAAAAATTATATTTTCTATAATTTTATTTTATTTTTACATTTATTTTATTCATCTAAGCTGCTCTATTCTATAAATGGAATTTCGATTGGGATTTATAATTAAAAGCTCTAAGAAGAACACAAAAAAGAAGATTGATTCATTTTGTCTGAGCTGCTCTATTCCATAAAATGAAACTTTGATTGCGATTTATAGTTAAATTCTCTAAAAAGGACAAAATAAGCACCATAAAAGTTTTATGCAAGGGAAATGATTTTCTTTCCTCCTTACTGTATATTATGCATTAGACCCCAGTATTAGTTTGAGTCTTATCTCTCAGATAGGTCCTTCAAGGTATCTTGGAGTGGTGAGGTGTCCAAGTCGTAACATCTAGCTACTGGGGTGCCTCAGGGCTCAGTACTTAGACCACTTCTCTTCTCTGTCTACATGGCATCACTAGGTTCTGTCATTCAGAAACATGGCTTTTCATATCACTGCTATGCTGATGACACTCAACTCTACCTCTCATTCCATCCTGATGATCCTACGATAGCTGCTCGCATCTCAGCTTGTCTAACAGACATTTCTTGTTGGATGACGGACCATCACCTTCAACTCAACCTGGCTAAGACAGAACTGCTTGTGGTTTCAACAAACCCATCACTTTATCACAATTTCACCATCCAGTTAGGCTCCTCAACCATAACTCCTTCAAAAACAGCCAGAAACCTTGAAGTTGTGATTGATGATAAGTTTATTACTTAGTAATAAATGGAATTTCGATTGGGATTTATAATTAAAAGCTCTAAGAAGAACACAAAAAAGAAGATTGATTCATTTTGTCTGAGCTGCTCTATTCCATAAAATGAAACTTTGTTTGCGATTTATAGTTAAATTCTCTAAAAAGGACAAAATAAGCACCATAAAAGTACAACAAAAGTGACCTGACGCACTGAAAAACATGGCATTTGGCATGAGAGCGAGTCCATGATGACAGAATTTTAATTTATATTATCCCTTTAGCTCTTTATGAAACACAAATGTTTGTAATATGTACACTCTTAAAAATAAAGGTGCTTCACAGCAATGCCATAGAACCATTTTTGGTTCCACAGAACCGTTCAGTCAAAGGTTCTTTAAAGCCTTTTTATAATCTGAAGAACCTTCTTTCGCCACAAAGAAGCTTTAGTGAAACCGAAAGGTTCTTCAGATGTTAAAGGCTCTTTATGGACCCATTCAGACAAAAAGGTTCTTCTGTGGCCTCACTGTGAAGCAGCTTTATTTGTAAGAGTGTAGCGGAGCTGTGATCCTGAACTGAGCTGGTTCTGTGTTTCTTCAGTGACGCTGTATGACTGAATGTGTGTTTCTGCAGGTCTGGAGGCAGACGCAGGAGCATCTTTCACAGAGACGCTCAGAAACGCTCCAGAACCGCAGCTGGCCGTCCGACCCGCGCCGGGAGCGCAAGAGGTACAGATACACAATATCACAATTCATATTCCTCTCTAAAACACAAAACACAAAACTCCGTCTCACGCTGGTGACGTTACTGTGCATAACATCAAAGATAAATCCTTCGCAGAGTAAATTGTGATGTACTGATGTCTGTGAATCGCTTTCTTTTACAGGTTTGTTTCAAAGAATCGATTACAAAACGATTCAGTGATTCCTTGATTTCATCACTGACGTTCCTTTTTATGTAGGAACATATTGCAGTTCATTGCATTTCAGTTGAGTTTCATTACGTAGTGTTTTCATGTGTTTTAGTTCCGTTTATTGTAGTCGTGATTCATAGTGAAACATAGTTATTCAGAGCCAAAACATAATTTGCAATGTCATTAAACGATACTAATATTTTATTTTCATTTGTCTGAGCTGCTCTTTTCCATAAAATGTCATTTGCATTGTGATTTATAGTGAAAATCAAGACAAAAAAGCGCCACAAGTTGATGCATTTATTTATTTTGTTTTATTTAATTATTTAATTAATATTAATTGTGATTTATGGTGAAAATCTCTAAAAAGGAAAATTGTTACAAATTGTTTAAGTTGAAATGTATTCATTTTTTAAAAAGTTGATAGATATTTTATTTGTCTGAGCTGCTCTATTCCATAACATGAAAATTAGAATGTGATTTTAAAATCTCTAAAAAGGACAACATCATTTTTTATTTATTTTTTTGTCTGAGCTGCTTTTTTTATTTTATTTTATTTTATTTTATTTTATTTTATTTTATTTTATTTTATTTTATTTTATTTTATTTTATTTTATTTTATTTTATTTTATTTTATTTTATTTTATTTTATTTTATTTTATTTTATTTTATTTTATTTTATTTTATTTTATTTTATTTTATTTTATTTTATTTTATTTTATTTTATTTTATTTTATTTTATTTTATTTTATTTTATTTTATTT